GTCTAACAACTAAACCTGTCAAGTCGATAAAGGGGTTCGTCTATAAATAATATGTGTGGTCTCATAACAAGTTCCCTTGCAATGCTGACACGCCTTCTCTCGCCCCTTCGAAGACCTTTCATGTAGCAGTGGCCACCTATAAGTTTATTAGCGTAATCTCCTAGTGACATAGAATCAATAGCGTCCTCCACCACGCTCCTTTTCTGACAAAGGAAACCAGGAAGCTGAAGCAATGCTGAGTAATAGAGGAATTCACGCACTGTCAACGTTCCAATAAGAGTAGTTTCTCTGTCAACAAATCCCTGCAGACGAAAGAAGTTCCTTATCAAAAGGCAAAGCTGATAAAATAATGCTATTGTATCGTTCCATAATAATACTGCATTACATTTTCATTAAGCTACTCACCATTATAGTAATGACTTATGAGCTATTGTTTGGGTTGTGGATGGAGAGCATATGAGAAGATTCTAGTAGGTTTTCTCGAACATGGGTATAATGCAGATTTTATACACCCTGAGCAAGGACTGGTGGTTGTGATAAGAGAATTTCCATCTGAAGGTTAGGAACAAATGTGGCTTCACACACTCAATTCATTCGGGCAACTACTAATTCAACAAGGAAAAAAAAGCCCTCTTCTCACTATTAAAACAGTATCTACAATGATGGGATGGAGGGTGTTCTTCCAACATTCAGTCAAATGCTACTATTGCAGGCCATCAGGGTTGTCGCATGAGAATCCAATTCTAGTTCTTGTTAAAGTCCAACTTTGGTTGAGGGTATAGGTTGTAGTCAATGAGCGCACACCCTAATCATGTACAGACACGTTGAACTTTTACACAGCAAGAAAAGTAAAGCGCACCATAGGATATTAAACAATAACCATGGACAGGCTTTTGCCTACTGTGAACAGCAACTCAACTACATGTGACAAAAGCATACTTACATAGGAACCATAAGGCATGCACATTTTTGTCCCATTTACAAAAACCTCACCATACATTCTGGCTGAATCAGGCAACCTTCCTAAGGAAGAGAAACCAAAATGGGTTATGAACAATTCATACGGACTGATATAGGCAGTCAAAGTAAATGGATGTTTGCCTATACAACACAAACCTGCAAGGGCTCTCAAGAGCGTTGATTTCCCTGACTTGGCAGGTCCCATAATTACAGTCATTGTTCCGGGCAACGCATAACCATTCGAACTCTTGACCACCTTATCAGAGTATCTTCTTTTTCCCTTTATAGAAACAGTCAAGTCTTTCCAGGCAATCGATGCCCCGGCAATTTTTCTTGTAATAACTACCCCCTCTGGTAAAGGTGGAGACGGCAATGAACCACTATTAATCTTTGACAGGGAAGGTGAGGCTGGTGTAGTTGCAGCATTGATGGAGTCGCCTCCTTCGTCCACTTTGACCTCAATATCCGTGTCTTCCCAATCAGGTGAATCTTCAAATGAAATTGGTTGTCTAAGTGAACCAGGTTTCCTCAAGTAGAAGAAATTACTTGATGGCACCCTACTCGCTGGACTACTTGCTGAAGAAGATGAAGACCTGTAATGATCCGATTGGGACTGTATTTCTTCCATTTCTTTTCAATTCTCTAATTCTGCTCAACTATTGGAAAAATGGCACTCCGAACTACAAATTCAGACGGAAGGTGAAACACTGCAAGTATTTTTCGCAAGTATTCTTTGAGCCCCTTGACAGAGCAGCAAGTAACTACTCTATAGATAACCTGCTACAAATCACAGTAAAAATTTTAAAAAATGAAGAAGTTACAACAACAGTAGAAGTAACCACCTTCAAGCAACTTTGAGCATCAAAAGGGATTTCATACAGATTCTTTTGCATCAAACAGAATCCATAGCCGGTTGCAAAAACAAGAGCTATTTCAAATTTATATCAATCATTCAATCACCAACGCATCCATCCCAAAACTAGTTGGCGCAACTACATGAATCTTCTATATTCATTCCGCTCTATTTGGACCAATTTCATTTCACTACTTTAATTTTTTTTTTTTTATAATCGTGGTGTTCAAGCCAGCTTGCTGGCACCTCGACTAATTTCATAGGGTACCTTCTACCTCCCACCACTACAAGTACCAGGGCTTGGACAGATACGTTAATTTATTTTTAAAAGGTAAATTTAGGTGTTCTTTAAAACTAGAGGTTCTCTGCATATCACACAAAAGCATACACTAACATACAAGTCCCTAATGCCCAAACACGAGACCTAGTGTAACTTTAAGAATAGAATTTCTAAGTTGTATAATCTGACAGTCTAAATGTTTTTTCCACACTACAGCAAATTTTAACATGTGATAGTAAAACCATCTTTACCAAATTAACAATTAACATTTATCAAGAGAGTGACCTTCAATTATTTAATAAGTGATTTGATTGCATAGATATCTTTTAACAGTCAGTGCATACAAATTAGGGTTCATTTGGTACGCGGGATAAGGTGGGATAAAGTGTGGAGGTATAAATTTATTCTCGTGGGATAAAGTGTGGTATTAAATTGATACTATGTTTGGCTGACAGTATAAATTTATCCCCATCAACCAAACTTAGTACAAACTTAGTCTCACACTTAATCCTGGATATCCCATCAAACTTGGTATTATTTTGTGGGATAAATTAGTCTAGGGATTATAATCTCAGGACTAGGATAATTTAGACTGCGTACCAAACGACACCTAAGAATATCAGCTAAGCTTTAATCCTTTGCTTCCATTTGTTAAATCTTTCAACTATATTTTCAAAAAAAAAAACAGAATAGTAACTGAGTATAAGGATCAGAAGAGCTAGAGAACCTGTATAAATCTTTTTAAGCCTGAACATATACAGAACCCCCTTTTCTAGAGAAATGCTACATATTTAATTTTATCCTATTAAAATTGAACAGAAAGCAAAAAACTTTTCAGCTCAAACCAACACTTGCCAGTATTTACCTGGCAAACTCTTCAGTCACATAACCTCAAACAAAAACAAAGTAGAAGTAAAGAAAAGTAAAAGCAAAAACGACACCAAGAAAATATATTCAAGCACGAATCGATTAAACCACAGCAAAATAGGTGGAGCAGAAATGATAACCACCCAAGCCTTGGGGGCAAAAGCTGTGACAGAGATTGAGCTTCCAAAATGAAAAAAGAGAAGCTACCAGTAGGGAGAAGAAAGAGCACTAACCTGAGATCTGAACACTGAGAGAGAGAGAGAGAGTTGAGAGAGAAAAAAGAGTATGTAGAGTGCTGCTACTGAAGACAGTGAATACTGAATAGAGTAGTGTTGTCATGAAACTTGACATTCAAGTGTTAAATCTAAAGAATCTTTTCAGCCCTTTTTTCCGCCTTCAAATTTAGCTCCTTCTGCTTTCTTTCTTTCTCTTCTTTTTCTTGTTAAATATTAGTAGCTTTTTTCTTTTCTTTTTTAATTACATTTTATTTTGGGATTCAACAACAACAATAAGGCAAAATACTTTAAAAACCCCTCCTAAACTTAACACGAACGTTGATGCGGCAAAAAAGTGTGAGTGCACTGTAGACATATAAAATTTATTGGATCTAGTCCATACAAAATTTGGATTAATTCAATTGGGTTGAATAATTAATTTGGGCTTTACAAATTAAATAAGTCCATTTTATTATTTTCAGGCCCAAAGTCCATTTCATCTTAAGACCCAGACTCATGTCATGTGACATGGCATATCCAGTCAAACTCTAGGCCAATAGGGTGCTGCCATGTGTTAAATGATGTGACAATCCAAGTCAAAAAGCAAGAACCAACAAGTCGCCAAGTGGCTAAAATGACATGGACCAACCAGAATCAAGCAAGAGAGTTCTTATTTAGCTTGACTGTCCATCCTCTACAACTATAAATAGAGGGGTCATATAACTCTTAAGGGGACATTCAGAGTTGGGGAAGAACACTCCGCAATTGGTGAAGGCACCCACAAATAGAGAGATCAATCATCAAGTGTTTAGTTCTTCGACAAAGAAGTGATCAACGGAGTTCTTCCAGGAGATCAACCGGTAACAACAAAGTGCTGCTCGACGTTCTTGGCGATTAAATACATCACAAGGAGGTCCGCATCATCCTACATTCGAGAAAGACGCTTCTCAAGGCCCTCGAATCACGGAGAATTTTAGAGAGGAGAATCAAGGGATATATAGAATTGTACTCACAAATATTTATCAATAAAATCTCTTTTTCTTTATATTATTTTTGTTGCGAACAAATTTTGGCTCGTCCAGTGGGACCAATTATGCCCTTCATCTCTCCTTCTTGCAAGTTGAAAACTACAAGCTTCATATCTACTGCTACAATGGCCTTCCGCAAGTGTGATATTTCATGCAAAGATGTTACTATTGCCGCATCCGCTGAGCTCGGTCATGTTGGCCCAATCACTCGAAGCAAGTTCAAGACTAGTGGCTTGGATGTATCTGAATACTTCGCCTCCTTGGAGATGGAAAAGAAAAACATATCTCATATGACGTTCACAACCGCAATCTCTGGGGGCAACACCCCATTCTCGATGATTGACCAATTTTCTCAAACAGCCTCAAACTTTGGCGAATTTGAGGATTTGGTGTATTCTTCAGTTTCAACAAAAGTCAATGCCTTGATGACTGACGCAACTAATGTGGACGAAAAGTTTGCCATGATGGAACAGACTATAGAGGTCTTGAAGAAATCAGTTGAAGACAAAGACCTTCAAATCGCTCAACTCATGAACAAATTGGAGGCCTATGCACCTGGAGAGTCGAGCCATGTCCCTCCTCGTTCACCTGTCTTCACCTCCTAGAAAACAGCTGTTGAGGAATCATTTGCAAAGTTAAACATTCAAAAGGAAAAGCAATCTACTTTAGTTGCGGCGTTATCTGTCCAACAATTGCAAGACATGATAACAAATACCATCAGAGCTCAATATAGCGGACCATCGCAAAGTTCGTTGTACTACTCTAAGCCTTATACTAAGAGGATTGATTGTTTAACCATGCTAACCAATTATCAATCACCAAAGCTGCATCAATTTGATGGCAAAGGGAACCCAAGGCAACATATTGCCCACTTTGTCGAGACTTGTAGCAATGCGGGAACGCATGGTGACCTTTTAGTAAAACAATTTGTTCGTTCTCTGAAAGGAAACGCATTTGGCTGGTATATTGACTTGGAGACCGAGTCCATTGATAGTTGGGAGCAACTTGAGAAGGAATTCCTCAACCGTTTTTACAGTACCCGAAGAACTGTAAGCATGATAGAGTTGACAGGCACCAAGCAAAGGAAGGACGAGCCCGTGGTGGATTACATTAATCATTGGAAGGCGTTAGGTTTGGACTGCAAAGATCGGCTATCAGAAATATCTGTTGTGGAGATGTGCATTCAAGGAATCCACTGGGACCTTTTGTACATCCTACAAGGGATCAAACCGCGAACTTTTGAAGAACTTGCAACACGAGCGCACGACATGGAGTTAAGCATCGCAAGTCATGGAAATGCATCTCCATTTGCTGATCAAAAGGAGTTCAAGAAAAATGTTGCATCAAAGAATCAATGGTGGTGAAAGCAACTTCTGTGAAGGTCACTACTAAGCAAAAAGTGAAGGAGGATAAGACCCCAAGTCAATATCCCAAAGAGGAGAAGCGTCGTCCCACCTTGAAGGAATTAGAGGCGAAGGTTTATCCATTTCCAGATTCAGACGTACCCACCATCCTTGATGAACTGCTGGACAAGAAAGTCATCGATCTCCCTGAATCAAAAAGGCCAGAGGAAATTGACAAAGTTGGCGACCCGAAATACTGCAAGTTTCATCGCGTCATTAGCCACCCTACAGAGAAATGCTTTATCTTAAAGGAGAAAATTATGGCTCTTGTAAGTGAAGGAAAATCATCATAGACATGAATGAAACAGCAGAAGCAAATCATGCAAGTATCGCGATCAAGGAAAAGAAGTGTTCAAAGTTGCATAACGTGTCAAGCACTACCTTCTTACAATTTGGAAGTTTCGATCCTGTTGAAGTTGATCTTCCAAGAAAAACTCTTGAAGGTTCACTAGAGTTAGACAATCACTCCAAAGACAAAGACGATGAGGGTTGGATTCTAGTCACTCACAAGAAGTGAAAACATCAGGCAGTTTTGAGGCTACGAATTCCTAATTCAAGAGTGATGATGAGCAATACAGATAGGCTACAATCACCAAAAAGTATCAAATCTTCTACTAGCAAGAAGATTAACAGTGCCTTATCGCCGAAGTTCCGAAAGCCCATCACATTGCTGAATTCTTTCCGAGAAAATTCCTTCATGGAGGTCACGTTAGTGTAACTCATGTAGTTTCTAGTACTAACGAAACAAAGGAAAGTAACGATGATCTTGCTCCAATAAAAACACATGAACATCATGATGACGGAAAAGTTGTCACATGTTGTGCAACAATTTGATTCACATATGATGACTTGCTGCTGGGGTCTAAGCCACATAACACATCTTTGTTTGTTGTAGGGTCCATTCGGGAATAACATCTCAATCGCATACTTGTTGATGATGGTTCGGCTGTCAACATCATGCCAAATATGGTGATAAAAAAGCTTGGGATCCCTATCGATGAGCTATCCAAAAGTAACCTAACAATCCAAGGTTTCAACCAAGGAGGACAACGAGCCATAGGTATGATCCGCGTAGGATTATCTATTGGTGAGATGAATTCAAACACCCTGATTCATGTCATAGATGCTAAAACATCATACGACTTGTTGCTTGGACGTCCTTGGATTCATGAGAATGGGGTGGTATCATCTACTTTGCATCAATGTCTGAAGTACATAAGAGATGGTGAGATAGTCAAAATTGTTGCAGATATCAAGCCTTTCACTAAGATGGAGTCATACTTTGCAGATGCAAAATTCTACCTAGATTCTTGTGAACTGAAAGTGGAGAAACCATCATCAGATGACGAAGATGGTGTTAAGTCAGAAGAGGAAATTGAGGCTCAATGGACTACCACCAAGCTGCCTAAGAAGGGAATGGAAGAAGTCTCCATTAAGATATCATCATCTAAAGGTGACATACAGATAAAGACTGAGGAGCATCTGGTTTTTCGCTATGTTCCACGTGAGTGTCGAAAGAAAGGGCAACCTTTACTATAGGAATGTACCCCAAAGAAGCAAATGAGTCATAAAGATATCCAATATTTGAAGGAGCATATGACTGTCTCAGTTGCACAAATCCCATCTGTGACGGGTGAGTCTGCTAAAGGCAATCTTCAAGCTGATAAAATAAAAAGGCACTATGATCCTAAGGCCTTCATACTGATTGAAAAGTCCGGTTATGACTTCTCCAATCCATCATAACTAGGAGAACTCAAAGACGAAGTAACTGGTGAAAAGATACATGGGCTCAATAAGTCCCAAATGAAGTTGAGAAAGCAAGGGCACTACGTCGCCACTCTAAAGTTTGGGTTGGGCTTCAGTTTGGCAGAGCCTCTTCGAATTTCATCAAAGAGAAGCAAAGAGATAGCTTTATCACAATACTCCCGGTAGAGGAGATGAAGGAAGTTAAGGGCAAGAAAAATAAAAAAAATGGGCTTCAATATTTGATCGCATTGGAGGCTCAACCCCTCCGGTTTCGGTGTTTGAAAGGCTAAGCCACGAAGGTGAATGTGTATCTTCCAAACATCTAAAAGAAGTTTCCACTACCTCAAAGACCTCTGTCTTTTGTCGCCTAGGGACCACAAGGAAATCTCCATATAAAAAGATACTGTTAAAATACAAGGAGCAAGTCCATGAGGAGCGAGATCATTTTGAAGTTGTTGCTGACAAAGAAATCTGTAGTGTTTTCCCATCACGTAGGAAGAGGAAGTCTATTTTGTCGATATCCACAGATGGTCCACTGAAGGTGCAAAGGAGAACCATTGTTTACACTTGCCAGCCTCATAAAGAAGCAAAGAAAGAGAAATAAGCCATGCTGACCATCCAAGGAAGTCAAAGAGAAGAGTCAGACTTTGTGGAAACATCCTATCACATAACCGTGGAAGATAGCCCATGCCTTAACATCGATGATGAAGTACATGAGGCTCCCCCTCAACTAGAAGATGGCGGAAAATCAACTGTGGATGAGCTTAAGGAACTCAATTTAGGTACTCTGAAAGATCCACGCCTCACCTTCATTAGTGCACTACTTACGCCTCAAGAGGAGGTGGAATACTCCAAGTTGTTGACCGAGTACAAGGATGTCTTCGCTTGGTCGTATAGAGAAATGCCTAGTCTTAGTCTTAAGGTAGTTGTTCATCATTTAGGGATCAAAAATGGACCACGCCATGTGAAGCAGTCACAACGCATGTTTCGACCCAAGCTTGTATCACAAATTGAAGTGGAAGTCAACAAGCTCATCGAGGCGGGATTTATTCGAGAGGTAAAGTATCCATCATGGATATCGAATATTGTACGTGTCAAGAAGAAAAATGGTCAAATATGTGTTTGTGTTGACTTTCGATACCTAAACAAGGCATGTCCAAAAGATGACTTCCCGTTACCAATTATTGAACTCATGGTTGATGCTACAACATGGCATGAAGCTATGTCATTCATGGATGGGTCCTCTGGATACAATCAAATCAGAATGTCTCCAAAAGATGAAGAGTGTACTGATTTCCGAAATCCAAAAGGGACATATTGCTACAAAGTGATGTCATTCGGTCTGAAGAATGCTGGTGCAACCTACCAACACGCGATGCAAAACATCTTTGATGACATGCTTCATAAGAGGGTTGAATGCTAGGTCGATGACTTAGTGGTGAAGACGAAGAGTAGGAGTTACCACCTTGAAGACCTTCGAATTGTTTTTGAAAGGCTAAGAAAATTCGACCTGAAGATGAATCCACTCAAGTGTGCATTTGGAGTTACCTCAGGAAAGTTTATTGGCTTCATTGTGCGTCATCGTGGAATTGAAGTTGATCCTGCAAAGATTGACGCCATTCAGAAAATTCCCAAGCCAAAGAACTTGAGAGAGCTTTGAAGACTCCAAGGAAACTTAGCATTCATCCAGAGGTTCATCTCTAATCTAGCCGGACGGTGTCAACCCTTCAATCATCTATTAAGGAAGAATATCCCTTTTCATTGGGATCAGTCATGTCAAAATGCTTTTGAAAGCACTAAAACATACTTGCTGAATCCACCTGTGTTAGGGGCGCCAATGCTTGGGAAGCCATTGATACTCTATATCGCAGCACAGGAAAGTTCACCCGGAGCACTACTTGCTCAAGAGAATGAGGAAGGAAAGGAATAAGCCTTGTACTACCTTAGTCAAACTCTGATAGGAGTTGAGTTGAACTATACGCCTATTGAGAAAATATGTTTAGCGTTACTTTATGCAATAAAGAAGCTAAGGCATTATTTTGAAGCATACACCATCAAACTCATCTCTCGAGCAGATACCGTGAAGTTTGTGATGACTCAATCTGTTCTTTCTGGACACCTAGCAAGATGGTCCATATTGTTTAACCAATATGAGATCACATACACACCTCAAAAAGCTGTGAAAGGACAAACACTAGCCAATTTTCTAGCTGATCACCCTCGTCCGGTAGAATGGGAGCTTTCAGATGAGTTTCCAGATGAAGACGTTTTGTTCATCGAAGAATCGCCACTGTGGACAATGTTTTTTGATGGATCTGCACGTCGTAATGGTGCGGGGGCAGGTGTTGTGTTGATCTCTCCAGAAAGACAAGTCTTGCCATTCTCGTTTGTTTTAGGTGAAACATGCTCCAACAATGCTGCAGAGTACCAAGCTTTGATCGTCGGTCTCGAAATGGCATTAGAAATGAAGATTCTACAGCTGGAGATCTACGACGATTCTAATCTAATCATCAACCAACTTTTGGGAGTTACGAGGTAAAGAAGGGAGATCTATTATCATACCATGAATACGCTTCCGGTTTACTTGAAAAATTTGATCGGGTGTTCTTAAACCACGTCCCAAGAGAAGAAAATCGCAAGGCTGATGCTTTGGCTAACTTGGCCACGACGATGGAACTTGGAGAAAATGAGTCAACAAAGGTATATGTATGTCATCAATGGATTATTCCTAGACTTCTGGATCTTCAAGTCAACAAAAGCCATCATACGTCTGTTCAAGTGATTGAAGAAGAAGTTTGGAGGCGACCACTGATAGAGTACATTGAACATGGAAAGTTACCTGAAGATCCGCGACAAAGAACAGACATCAAACGAAGAGCACCACGGTTCATCTTCTATAAGGGGACATTGTTTCGCCGCTCTTTTGAAGGACTATTCTTGCGATGTCTTGACAAAGAAGAAGCCCGCCAAATGATGGAGGAAGCACATTCTAGCTCATGTGGATCACACCAATCTGGTCCCAATCTCTATTTTCACATCAAGGGGATGGGCTACTACTGGGCGACAATGGTGAAGGATTGCATGGATCATGCCAAAAGATGTCAAGCATGTTAATTTCATGCCAACTACATCCACCAATCTCCAGAGCCTCTTCACCCAACTGTAGCTTCATGGCCTTTTGATGAGTGGGGACTTGATGTTGTTGGACCACTTACAAAGTCATCAAAGGGACAAATGTACATATTGGCTGCTACAGACTACTTCTCTAAATGGGTGGAAGCTGTTCCACTCAAGGAGGTGAAAAAGGAAGCCATTGTCGATTTTATCAAGTCATATATAATTTTTAGGTGCGGCATACCAAGATACATAATCACTGATAATGGAGCGCCATTTGACAACAAGCTCTTGAAGAGTCTATGCGAGAAGTTTAGTTTCAAACAACATAAGTCTTTAATGTATAATGCACCTGCCAACAGCCTTGCTGAAGCTTTTAACAAGACGCTTGGTAACCTTTTGAAGAAAGTTGTTGCAAAGAATAAGAGAGACTGGCATGAGAGACTTGGTGAAGCTTTGTGGGCATACCGGACAACCTTTAGAACTGCTACATAAGCAACTCCTTACTCTTTGGTGTATGGAGTAGAAGCAGTCCTGTCGTTGGAGCAACAAATTCCATCATTGTGGAAAGCAATCCAAGAAGGACTCACGTCCGAAGAGAATGCTCAACTTCGCCTAGCAGAGTTAGAGGCACTGAATGAGAAAAGATTGGAAGAGCAACAAAAAATGGAATGCTATCAAGCTCGACTAGCTAGAGCCTTCAACAAGAAAGTGCGGCCACGATCATTCCAAGTGGGAGACTTAGTCCTAGCTGTTCGACGACCCATAATCCTCAACAAATGCATAGGCAACAAGTTTACCTCAAAATGGGATGTGCCATATGTTGTGAAAGAAACCTATTCAAGTGGCGCATACAAAATTGTCGATAAGGATGGTCTTAGACTTGGTCCGATCAACGGAAAATTTATGAAGCAGTACTTCCCATGAAAGTCACCTACGCTCCTCGACGCACGAGCCTAAACTGCAAGTCATGACGCTCCTTGATGCATGAGCTTAAACTACACGTTGCTACACTCCTGGCCTGCATGAGTCTAAACTATGTACGACAAAAAAAAAGAGTCTGCTAGGTTGAAAACCTCGAAAGAGGTGGCTTAGGCAAAAGTCAAGACAAAAAAAACTCATCCCTCTGAACTACGTTATGACTTGATCCTCTTCACCGAGGTACGTAGGCAGCTTAAAGTTTTATTCTAAGTTCAGTCGCATGAGTTTTAAAAAAATAAAAGTTTGGCGTCATCGTATCATTACATTAATTCTGCCAAGTGTAGAGGCACGTATCTATAAGGAAAAGAAGATGATTTGCGTTGAAATATAAAAGATGTTTTATTGTTTCAATAGTACAAAAGTGGATACATTCAAAAATGTAGAGACAAAAGGAACTAGACATTTTTCTATACAAAAGCCTAAATCATAAAGATGATTATAAACTAGGCTTTGTTGCTGATGCATCTTAAATGCCTTTCCGTATGACGTCTCCACATTTGATGCCATTCTCGATGTATATCTCTCGTGCTCAGTAGTTGTGATGATCTCTTGACCACATATATTGTTGTTAGGCCTCGAGCATGATAGTTTGCTTCTCTTGTGCAAGTGGGTTGAAGGTCCCACATATGAGAAGTCGTCTCTCTTGAAAAACCTTTAATCAGCATGGGAGCCGTCATTGATGAATTTAAGACTATCAAATCAAGTGCAACATTTGTTATAGGGTTGACTCTGCATCTGTATGACTCCTCAGTCTGACATCTGAACCCTTTGAGCTCCTTCGCGACTCTACAAAAGGAATAAACAAGAGATAAAATTTGTGAGGCATGGTACTTGAAGTTACTACATACAAGAATGTAGAGTCAATCTCAAAATAGGACAACTCAGAGAAAATGAAGCCTTGATATTCGACATGGTTATATTTATTCACATCTAAATGTCATAGAATCAAGTCATTTATGGTCTAGACACCCGTATCCCAAGCTAGAAATTTTTCCGCAGGTGTGCGCAAAGTAGGAAATCAAGCTCAACGGACGTCTCGATCAAATTCAAAAAGCCACTGCAGTCCATCTTAAATTTGTTCTACCTCTAACTTTTCAAATGTTGTATCTGCATGTACCTAGTGTCAACAACACAAACCGTTTGTGATTTGGAGGCTTCTAGTTCAAAATATGATTTTATTTCCGCCGGAACTACACGAATCAAAAAGTTTACTGCTGCTAGGTGGACTTTGAGAATTTTCTGTTTCCAAATCAAAATGAGTTATTCCATGAAATTAATATATGTTGTAGGTCTCTGAGTTTACTTTCTAACGGTGCAAACGTATTGCAATTCGGAGATTCGTAGCTTGAGATATGAAGTTTTCTACAAAAATATGCAAAGTTGGATCGCAAGTGCGGCAAACGTTAGGAGCAATTTCAAACTACTGTTGCAGGCAATCTAAAAGGAGTTCATACATGATATCTTCAAGTGTTACGATGGCACAAATGGCTCACGATTCCGACACTTGTAGATCGAGATATGAATTTCCACGAGTGCGCACAAAGCTGAATAGCGAGTTTGGCAGACAAGTGGGTCAATTTCAAAATATTGTTGCGGCTAATCTGCTTGGAATCCTTCCATGATATCTTGAAAATTTAATTATCTCTGAGTCTTATTTCTAATGGTGTAGACGACTTGCAATTTGGACGTCCCTAGCTTGAGATATGTGCGTTCCAATGATAGCATATGGTGCTGTGAAGCCGTAATGACAGACTTGTGCATCGCCTTCAAAAGTTCATTCCGACTTGTCCTGATGAAATTGGCCCTAAATTTTGGATATGTCGATGTGGTGCAAGTTTTAATTCTGTAGAACCGCAGTTTGGACACGCCTAGTCGAGGTACGATTTTTTTTCAATGCGAGCATGAAATGCTATGAAGTCAAAGCATAAGAGATGCGCCAAGTGCTTGTTCGCCGATGTTGGAAAGTCCTACTCCATATGTCTCTCTCGCCAAGCCGCAACAAATAGGAGAGTTGTTCGCTAGCAATATTGCATCTTCTTAGGGATATCAAAGACTTCCAGTACTCTCGCAAAAACTTGCAAATGAAAACTATTGTCGAAATTCTCGATGCCAACAACATGAAGTTTATGTGAATATAGTACCAGTAGCACAATGCTTCAATATCATGACGCTTCAGTTCGACTGATGGATACGATTCCGGTGATACGAAGCTGTTAATCCCACATGATTGATTGGTTCCAATGACACAAAGCTTTGATTCAACAACAAGTACCAGTGTCAATGACACGACGCTTCAATGCGGATGGTGAGCATTGTGACGTGCACTTCTCCGTCAAATCTTGATGGATCATACGCTTCATGAACCTACAAAAAAGGAGTGGTGAACATCCCCATCTTCTCATGATGCATATTGGAGAACTCACCATGTATCATCTCCGAGCCTGCAATAAAAAAAAGGGAGAAAAGAAGTATGTTGCCGGAACAATCATCTCGATTCCGGCCCTTGATTGATCAAAGATTTATTGCGTCTGGATCAAAAGGGATGGAGCTTTTACTTTTATATATGTTGTGTATCACCGAGTCTTCTTACCAACGGTGTAAACAGCTTTTAGTTCAGATGCTCCTATCTTGAGATATGCATTTTTTTAGCAAGAGCATGCAAAACTGAAATGTCGAGCGCGATAGAACTTGGACCAAGTTTTGGAAGCTCACTTGGGATAGTACAATGCGAATTTAAATCCAAATTTTAGGTATATTATAATACTCCGAGCCTAGTTTCTATAGCCACAAACCGCTCATGATTTCGGCATTCCTACACCAAGATATGATTTTTTTAGTTAAGGCGCGCAAACTGATCTATATCAAACGTGACAGAACTTGAGCCAAGTTTAGGAAGCTCACCTGGGATGGTAGAATATGAACTTAAATCCAAATTTTTGATATGTTGTAGTACTTTGATTCTAGTTTCTGCAGCCGTAAACCGCTCATGATTTCGACATTCCTATACCAAGATATGATTTTTTTGGTTAAAACACGCAAAGCTGAAATTCCTGGTAGCAGTTGCAAAAAAAAGGTTAGGAGAATCGAGCGATAGGATTGCGTTGCCAACTATTGAAGAGTACCTTTAAAACCAACCAAAAAGTAGTACTATTGCTTTCATCAAAGAGCGGAGGACTACTGCTATGGTAACGATACAAGGAGAAAGTGGCCAATTTATAGGAACCAGCAAGGAAGAAATTAAAGAAATTCTTGATATTCAAGCTACTAACATGTGAAAATAAGGAAATATCATGTCCGATTTGTACATGAATAGGTTTGAAACTAGGAATTCAAAGTAGGAAAGGAAAATTACTGTTAGCCCAAGTGTTGTTACGGGAAAGTGGGAAAAGCTTTAAAATTTTCTATATTTGATGCCACTGGACAGTAAAATTTTCCATGTTTGTGATAGTCAAGTTATTAATGCTGGATTCATACTATACGATCTTATAGAAGAAGACAGGAGGAGGGGAAAAAATGCCAGCAGTTTGGTTTGCTTTAAAGAGATTACTACAATGCAAATCAGAGCTAAGATATGTTCATGATCCAAGAACTGATGGCAACAAAAAAAATTTAAGCAAAATATCGACGAAAAAGACAGTAAGTAGATCAGGTTGTTCAAGGTCAATTGCAAATCTGAAAGATGTTATACATGGAAGTAAAAGACATATGGAGAAGCCACCATTACCAAGTCCAAGATCTATTGGAAGCGAGTAAGCAGAAGGAAAGGCTAAAAAAGCTCTAAAGAATAACATCAAGGTCTCCATCCATATCTGCAATCATCGTCTGTGGTCAAATTCCAAAGGCGAACCCAAATCATAGGCGGGTGGCTTCAAATCTTCCGTTCGTAATAACCCAACACCAAATCCTGGTTCGTGACGACCTTCAAATAGTTTGTGACGTACTACAAATCTGAAATCCGTCAAGTTCAAGATCAAGCTCTCAAGCTCTTGAACCACAAATCTGAAATCTGTCAAGTTCAAGATCAAGTTCTCAAGTTCTTGAACTATCGACCGTGAGGAGAAGAATCAAAAGACTACATCTCTTTAGATTTAGAGATATTTTAGAGATTGTAACCCCATCACTTGAAATCGAATATAATATTTGTCGCTATATTTCTTGTCTTGATTATTATTTTTCAGGAGCGAAATTTAGTTGCTACAAATTTAGTTCTACAACCAAAGTATTGGAAGGTTAATTTTTGCTTGGAGTTTGTATTTAGCATTTCACATAATTGTGCAACTCGATAAAAGTTTAGATTTGACCGGTAGAAGTCACCACAAGTGCTGAAACAAAAATATCAACGTTCACGGGTACTTCAAGTCTCGTCGTTCGTTTCAGCAAGCCTACACCGCGACAAGCCTTGAAGTAGGGGGCATCTGTAGACATATAAAATTTATTGGATCTAGTCCATACAAAATTTGGATTAATTCAATTGGGTTGAATAATTAGTTTGGGCTTTACAAATTAAATAAGTCCATTTTATTATTTTCAGGCCCAAAATCCATTTCATCTTAAGGCCCAGACTCATGCCATACGACATGGAATATCCAGTCAAACTCCAGGCCAATAGGGTGACGCCATGTGTTAAATGATGTGGCAATCCAAGTCAAAAAGCAAGAACCAACCACAAGTCGCCAAGTGGCTAAAATGACATGGGCCAATCAGAATCAAGCAAGAGAATTTTTATGTAGCTTGACTGTCCATCCTCTACAACTATAAATAGAGGGGTCACATAACTCTCAATGGGAAGAGTTGGAGAAGAACACTCTGCAATTGGTGAAGGCATCCACAAACAGAGAGATTAATCATCAAGTGCTTAGTTCTTCAACAAAGGAGTGATCAACGGAGTTCTTCCCGGAGATCAACCGGTAACAACAAAGTGCTGCTCGACGTTCTTGGTGATTAAA